TATTCCAAGTGACTTCTTTTGACCTTAAATTTTTCACATAAATAATTAATCGGAACCTTAAAACCTTTTTACAATAACAGTGTCACAAAAGGTAGGAATTACGTCATAGATCATTTTTCTAAATGCTTGTAAATGTTGAATATTTTTTCCGTATATTTCTAATTGATCATTTATCCTTTTTTTATGTCCCGTAATTAAAGATCCAAGAGCATATAGCGTTTGTTCTGTCCGTCTGACTACCTGGTAGCTGTCTGCCTGATGTCCGCACAATCGTTAATCTTGCTTATAACTTTTTGATCGGTTCGAGCTGTTGCTTTTATATTTTTTGACAAAACCATTTCTTGATACCAACATATTTGACCTTTTGACCTTTGCATTTAACCAATTTAGGCTAAAAAATACAAACTTTTAACTTTGCTATAACTTATAACCACTTAATGATATAGATTTCCATGGTGACAAGACGTTTTCCTGTGTACGAAATATATGGATAGGGAATAACGAACAGTGTTCAAACTTAAAAGTCATTAAACAATACAATTTTTTAGCAGAACAAATATGAACTTTTAACGCATTAGAATTCGGATCAAGTCCCATGGAGGAGTGAGTATCGCCTGTGATAATATAGAAAAGCACATATCCATGACACTGTGTACATATTATACTGCTTGATAATTTTAAACTTTTTAAACAAATAGTAATTAAGAAGTAAGAATTAAATATATTTACCATTCTTCGCCCTCGGTCTCGTAAAATGGCCGACAATGTATACAATAGTGGGTTTAATGCAGAATTTACAGGTAAAACTAGCACTGCAATCCAAGCGTAAACCTCCCGTGATATGTCTATCCCATAAAAAGTAAGCATCCCTAAAATAAAATTGATTGAAATCGATTATGATAAATTTGTAGTTGTTCCTTTTTTCATCATCACGAATGTTGTTTTTTTTCAGTTTTCATGTACCTTGAAAAAATATATCAATGAAATGGAAATATGGCAATTTTTGTGTTAAATAATAATATGTTTCTTAAATTTTTCATCACAGAATATATTTCCTTAAAAGATAAAAAAAAATCTTACCAATAATTCCTATAGGTATCCAACAGAGAAGATCAGTCAAAACCACTGCAACAACAGTCTTGGCCAAAGATATCTCTCTTCGACGCATGTTTAATGCTTTACTATTTCTACCGGATTTAAGAACCTCAAAAAGGATTATAAACTGGCCAAAAGTTATAGCAGAAAAAATAACGAAATTAAATCCAATAAATATGACCATAGAATATTGCCAGCCTCTCTGTCTATATACAGACAATGGCAAAAATATGCAGATTGGAGATTGTGCATAGAAGTTCTCGAACATTGATAGTTGAAATGGCAAAACTGGTAAAATAGACACAAATATTGCAATAGCCCATGATAGAAATGATGATGCTACAATCCAGACCATCTTTTTCTGATGTAAAGGATGCCTAATAGCCACAACTCTGTCAATTGTTATCAACGATACAAAGAGTGCCGATGCCTCACTGGATATCGTGGCTAATATCCCTGCGAACGTACAAAGAAAGCTTTGACGCCATTCGTAATCTTCAAATCCATAGCTTCCTGTATAAATCAAATTCACTGTAGCTATAATATATAAATAAATACCCATTAACAAATCAGCGATATTCAAATTTCTACAAAAAACAAAATATGCAATGGATGACCTTTTTCTGAATTTGGTAATGCTGCAAAGAAAAGCAATGATGTTGCCAAACGTTGCAAGAAGTGCAATATACCAAAGAACAATATTTAGGATAGGTACGCTGATTAAATGTTCACAAGACGAAATTTCATTTCTAGGTGCTACACATTGAACCTCAAAAACACTCCGAGGTTTTGCACAACAAATAGAAAAAACATCGACCTTAAGTAATTTAAGATTAAACAACCCAAGAAACATTTCTTTCACAGAAATAATATTATTGTTTTGTATATACAGGTTCTCCAAGTTTTCCATGTTCAAAAAAAGTTCATCACCGAAATGTGTAAGGTCATTGTTTGATAGATCCAAAGTATACAAGTTTCTTAAATTGAAAAAGGCTTTTTTATGAATAAATGTTATCTTGTTGGTGTTTAAAAACATATAATGTAGCGTGTTAATGATGTAAATATGTGCTGGTTAACAAACGATACGGAGTTATTTGAAATATCAAGAAGACAGAGCGATATAAGATCCTTGAATGCGTCGTCTTCAATATTTTGTACACGATTACTCTGTAAACGGATCTCCTGCAAATAATACGACTCTTTGAAATCCTTACTTCTTATAATTTCAATATTATTGTAGGAAAGGTCTACGAGTCTAACGTCCTTGGATTGAAATGGGAAATCATCAATATTCTGTAGACCATTATTCTTCATTGTGAAATAGTTTCCTGTAAGGAAAGTCTCTTTTTCTTTATATGAACTTAAAATCTTATCATTGTAATTTGTAAATAACCTCCTAAATCGAACAGTGCTGTGATGAAAGTACATTGAGGCTTGGAATTGGTTTGCAATGAATCCTGCGATGCTTTCCGTTCCTTCTCCTGAATACATGTTCCACAGATACGATACCCGAAGTAATATGTTGATACGCTCATCAACATTTGAATCCAGTTCCATGTCAAGGAATGTTAAGTACTTTAATGTATTGTAAAAAGAAAATAACGCTGTAAGACCCCTTATCTTCGAAGTCTTCAATGCAGAAAGTTCAATTGAGATATTAAAATGTATACTATCCTCCATGATCAATACTTTTACATATCTCATCGTGCAGTTTTTCAAATGTAGTGTTTGTAATTGTTGTGAAATTCTGTTTCCTTGAATTATGGTTAAATTATCAATCGTACTGTGAACAATATTTATGTGCTGTAAATTGTCTAAAAGCCTTCGATCAATTAGAAGAACCTTTATGTTCATTGCTTTTAAATTTAAAGAATAAACAGGGAACGAGAAAAGGTCATTGGAGAAAATTTGTTGGCACGTAATATGTCGCCATTCTAAAAAGTGATGGAAATTTGCTACGTAACTGAAACATTTTCTTTCGAGTTTTGATGACTTGCACGAGCTTGGACATTTTTGGATACACTTCCACAAACCCGAAGTAAACATACATCGGCGATTCCCCTTGATACTACTTGAATGATGAAATAAACCAGGCGAAATTCCATTCTCGTTTAAATCGTCATTTCTTCCAAAACGTTTGTTCAAATCAGAACCGGTGCCTGGCATAGGAAAGTCATTATAAAAACATTCACTTGCAGTACTTTGCCTTTTGCTTTTTGAGTCATGTGAATTATATATAGAGGTATTGCAACTATTAGTACTGGACAGTTTTGATGCGTTGTTATTAATATGGCCTGAAAAAAAATACTATGAGGTTAAGCTATTATGATACCATACGGTTATTTTAAATTAAAATTTTAGATTATCTTTTTTATACTTGGTCCTAAAAAAATAATATCACTTATACCGGTATTTTGTATTTTGACGAGAAGGATATGGAGATAACGAACAGTATTCAGTTTCAAAGTCCATAAAACAATACAAAACAAGAGCAAAGCAAACAAAGACCCCCGAAACATCAGAGGTGGGATCAGGTGCCATGAAGGAGTGAGCATCCCCTGCCGACCGGTCACACCCGCCGTGTGCTCCTTGTCATGATCAGCAAAAAAACGGAAAAAATCAGTCGTCAATTCAGTGTATAAATAATGGACTAACAATTGGTATGAAAAACGTCAGTCCGCATTTGACTCAATGATAAATTGTATTTGCTGACAAGGTCATTGTATCGACCATAGAACTTACGAAATGATGATTTTAAACGAGACTGCTGATAGTCTTGTTTCATCAACTTGCTTGTCAATAATTCACCTCGTTTTAGAAATTGTTCATACTTAGAGCATGCTCTTGCGTATCGAATCAATTGAGATATATATACTCCGTATGCAGGTGATGAAGGTATATTGCTGCATAAGTAAGGGAAGTTGACGATACAAAAGTTAAAATCATCACGTTTATCATAGCTTGGTTGTTAGATTACCATTAGTGTCTTTTTCAAGTAAAATATCCAAGTATGAAACAGTGTCGGACTCTGTGGTATCTTTAATCTCAAGCTCACCAGGATATATCGTATCAACGTAGGAGTGGAAATTACCATTATTAATTGACGGTACGTCGTCGACATATCAAAATGTCGAGTTGAAGGCCACAGCAAGTTCTTTTTTCTTTTCACTTATAAGATTTTGCATAAATTCTGCTTCATATGAATATCAAAATAGCTTTCTTTTCAAGGATTAATTCTGATATCTTACAATTTTCTTCGTCACTTCCATCAGCGCAGTCCACTTTTCCATTACAAAATAGAGTCCTTTTAATGCATTCTTTACTTTCAAGACAACGAAAGTCTCCGCCTTTGCATTGTGGAGTGACTGAAAAATAGTGAAAGACCTTATTCATTTGATAAAAAAATGATATTTTTCGTGCCCCATGTATTTTACAATTTTGCACCCAAATATTCACCCAAATATTTCTTTTTGAGATTTTGTGAAACCTCTAAGGTGGTTTTTTCAGGATATAATGGATCGGATATTTTATGAATTTGACATTGATTTTTGCAAAATGACCATGACTTATTTTTGTGTCAAGGAAAAATCCCTTATTTCATATACCGGTATACGTAATAATATAATATTTTTCTGTCGGTAATAGTGTACGGTGATCTTTGTCAAACAACTCAAGAACAAAATCATGCCAAAATATTTGTTCTTTTGATACTGACCTTTCGTTCTCTATAATTGAAAAATATTGTAAATGTGAAAATGCTGGCTTAGGGAATTTTTTGAGAATTATGTGTTGTAAAGTTTAGTCAAAACAACCACCCTCTGGTCATGAACAATCTTTGTTTCAGGTATGAACTGCCAGTGTTACTTCATTTCAAAGCAAGAATATGCACAGGGTTTTGAAAATCTTTAGAAGGACTCTGAGTATGGTGCCTCACAAATTGCAAAAATAGATTTAAAGTAGGTCTCTAGTGCGATAGAGAACTGTTGCCGAGGTCCTATATTCCACCAGGAACCACTAGGTGCCATGATGAGGTCCCTACTTGGCATAAAATATAAGACCAACAATCATTTACAATTAAAGTAAAACGGTTTATATCAAATGCAAATTAAATTTTACCCACGTTTACAAGGGCCATCAATGATATGGATTTCATCTAATATTACGGAGCCGTTCTTGGAGTGGCTAAAACGAGACTGGAATACTATCTGAAAGAAAATTCTAACATTTTACTACAACCTCTTGGTAACCTTAAATTAAAAAATGAAGCACGATAAAGACAAAAAATATACCAACAAAATTGTAAATAATTTTGGTACAATATAAATATCTAAGAAATAAGATCGTAAACCTTAACAATTCTCATGTCAGGGAAAGAAATGGTACATGAATACAAACAGAAGTTTGTTAATAACAGGTGGGGGGGGGGGATTGGTACCCGTGGATGATCGTATAGATCGTGGAAGGCCTGGTCTCCAAAAACCACATAGATATTGTCAATCAGAAACTCAAGCATCTTTATATATGACTACTTAGTAGGGATGTCAACGAATATTCGAGTATTCGTCTATCGTTCGATCATATAGACTACCGACTAAAATTTCTTTAGTCGGTTACTCGTTAAAAATGTGTTTCGGCAAAGTAATTTTGAAATCAAGGCAATAAACTTATATTTGCCCATTTCATTTATTTACAGATCAATATTTTCATATGTAAAATTAAGGGAATGGTATAACTGTTCAAATGAAATTATTTGTACATCGATGTATATTCGGCAAACATGTCTATTCAGAAAAAGATATTAATTACTAGTAAACAGCTATTACAAAATTGTTAATACATGTAAATCGGGGTCAGTTAATATGAGAGTAATTAAACCGTGTTTTCTTTTTCTGATATTAATTTAATACAGTCATTGATTGTTTACACAATATTTCATGATTAAAATTTATCCCAAGCTCTCGCTCTCTTTGTTTTTATAAGAGACCCGCTTTAATTGATTACCTGTCAAAGACTATTGATGGACACGTAATAAATGGCTTCAATTATGGGGTACATGTACTACCGTTATGCAAAGAAAGGACAAATTCGGCGTATGATATCCTGCATTTAGATAAAACGTGCAGCTAATATCTTAATTTTGAGATTAGATACATTGGATACATATTGATGTACAGTTTTTATTGCACTACGTACATGTTTACAATTCAGAAATTTGTTGTACTATTATAATGATGATAGCATAGGTTAATTATTGTAAACTAGTCTGTAAAAGACAAACAGTGAAACTGGTACGAAAAAATAATCAAAATTAAACGAATATTCGACTATCGTTCGACTAAAGCATCCGACTATTCGACTAAGCTGTCCGAGTAAAATTGACATCCCTACTGCTTAGTAATTGTGTGTGCAATCAGATTTTTTGTTTTTAGTTTTTTAACAAAATAATTTTGGAACGATCCAATGACAAGATAAGAAATTTTTTAAAAAAAAATTATAAAGAAACGAAAGTCTTTTTTTTTTTATATCTTCATGTTTGTTTTACTCATTATTTCTCATATAATACATTGTTATGTCATAAGCAATATGACGCTGCAGTTATGAACTTGATGAATATCATCTAAATTATCCATATTAAGAAATAGCCAGTTTATACAGGGACTTTTGTGACATCATAGCTATTGTGCTTCACAAAAGAACGCTCTGAGTCTTAAAAATATCAAGTTCAAAAGCCTTTTAGGAAACATATAAAAGAAACGCTCAGATTATTGACTTTTTATATCTGATCATGTGATCTAGATTATCCGAAAAGATAATCGAACCACAAAATATATCAAATTGTATTACTTATAATTGTACAACACAATAATGATATAACTTAAGACTCACCAATAAAACTATGTACCTTAGATTTAATTCTGATTGGAAGATCCACTGACATCTCCTGGGGATAATCGCTTATAGGATGTATCCACTTTAGGATTACATTACTGGAGGTGGTCCAGGCGATGTTAATTGCTTCCACGTCAGTGTTCAGGACTTTATTTATATCACTCCTACTTGGTGTGTAAGCCACAGTCAATGAAGCATTTCCTGTTAGTTTATAAGAATAATGAAGGCACTGGACATTTTGAGCATCTGGAAGTTCTTCACTCATCAGATAAAAATTTTGAACAACGTCATTTTGTGGAATACATCGTGTTTTTCTGGCAGAGTAAGAGTAATCTTTCATCTCATGAGCAAAAGATATGAGTGCAGCAGTCTTAAAATTAAAACCTGAAATGAAACAACGAATATTCAGTTGTTTACCTAAATGATTTTTCCGGTGTAGTGCGATGTTTAACCTACTTACAGATACAGTACCGACCGGACACAACATGAAAGAAAGCAGATCCCAACCAAACCTGGATTTGTGTTTTGTGTTTGCTTTGGGTCCGCTGACACCCTAGCAAACCCAAGGCGGACCCAAACCAAACCCAGAGCGGACCTAGGGCGAATGCCAATAGCGAACCCGGATAACAAAAGTGCACTCAGAAAGCGTATCTGGCGTTTTATTATTTCGTAACAGGGCTGTCAGTTCAGTTGCCCAATCCGTGCATCGACCAATCAGTATGCCTTTTGGCATCTGGAACTGATAATAAAATCTGTATCGTATAATTATTAGCATCGCGTATTTATATAAAATATGTATGGATTTACTTTCATATTTTGTAATTCGTTTTAAAAAGAATTATTCAGTTCTCTAGTAAGAAACGTTAATTGTTCAGAAAGTTCAAAATTATCCATCGCTATGAATTATTTCTTTAATTTAAAACATACATATCTTAGACAGGATTTGTGACATCGCTGAATAGTCACGGAAAATTTCGTCTTCTACGTATCACGCATAGCCATACTGGTCAAATTATCGTCGTTTATATTATCAAACAATTTTATCCATCTTCAACAGCCGAACAGTAACTGCTCAATATTTGAAAATATGATTTTAAGTATGCTATCTATCGTAATATAGTGATACTGATAAAAGATGCAAATTTTGTTTTAGAATCGAAAGATGAATCATACATGTAACAAGCATCAGAAGAGGTATTTGGAGTACCTTTCTCAGACTGCATTAAAATTGTACCGCCGATTCTGTACCTTTGCAATCGATGTGCATGTGTGTAAATTCAGCTACAGTAAAACAATTCTCATTGCCGAACGTGCATATGCAAACTAAACCGTAGTTCGTAGAAATGCCATCGCAAATCTGTGCAGGAGCCTATTAAATAACCTGCACATATTAATTATATACGACAATATTTTGGAAAATGGTCAATAAAAGAAGATTGAGATTTCCCATGCTTATTCAAAGTTATATGAAAAAAAAGATGTAGTAATAATAACTGCGACTAACGCAGACGATAATCGCTATCAAACTTTTCTCCTCCATTTTTTATAAACGTGCAAATTTGTTACCTTGTAATTTTTTTTTATTTCCTATTCAAATTTATCACTTTTTTTTTCTTTAAGGGACATCAAAAATATTTTATTTATGTATAAACACGTACCTAAATTCGAATAAATACATTCATTTAATTCTAATTTGTAATTCGTTTTTATTTTCTCTTATCTTCACAAAAATGCGTAACATGCATTATAAGCATACCATTAATGATATTTATTGAGACACTCACAGAAACTTTGTTATATTGAGCGCCTCTTATTTTACTTTATGAGTAGAACAATTTTGATTTCCCATGGCAAAACATGGACACTGCCATTCTTTCTTCAATATAATATAAGGGGTACCCACCTCTTATCAACAACTCCTTCGAAACCACTGAATAAAATTTAATGACACTTTCAAAGAATCTTTATATATGTAAAGCAATTGTGACCTCATATTTTACTTTTTGATCTGACATATATTTCAAGTCTCCCATAGAAAACATGGACTTTGCAATATAATCATATTGAAGGGGGGGGGGTATCGTTTTGTGAGTTCAGTTCCCATAGTACCTCTAGTTTATTTTAGCATTCACAAAAAGTTAATTATAAATCTGTATAACTTAAATATGCAGTATGATGTATGTGTACAAATAGTGGCTACCTTTTATTACTGGGTCTCTTTCAGCTTCATCTGCAGTCATTCTAGTCCAAGCCGTGGTATTAAATGTTTTACTTCTAAGGTTCATATTAATAAAATATGATTTGCATTCGTCATTAAGTTGATCTCTGTAGCGGCATACATACAGTCTATCATTTAAGGGATAGGTTACTTTCCATCCACACAAATCCTTCTCAAAATCACAATCAACTGCAAAAGCAATCAAATGAAAATTTAGAAATCGGAATTGTGAAGAATACCATCTCTAATAGATAAATACATTATAAAAGAAGAAAATCCTGGTTGGTGATCTATTGTAAGTAGATATTTTATTTTATAAATATTTAAAGCAAAGTAGATGATGCACTTTTAATAATTAAAATTCAGAATAATCTCAAGAGAAAAAACAAACAAATGTGGCATTATCATGAGGAAAGTGCGTAAAAAACAATGTGCATCGGAGATTAGTTTTGTTTTAATCATCTTCATCACCAAAAATTAAATAAAATGAAAAAAGAAGAAAAGAGAAAAGCTTTTTTCATTCAGTGCTAACATGTTGATGTAATCGGGGATTCGAATTGACAAATATATATATTTCAAATAAGATTTTACAATTAAAGGTTTCTTTAACTATGCAACGGATTCATTGAAGGTCATTAATTCCCTCTTCAATTTAGTTTTACTAATAATACTAATATAATGATATAACAATCCCTTTTTAAGATATAAAGAACATTAAAAACACGACTTTGAAATTATACTTAATTCCGTTTACCTGTACACATGTTTCTCTATATTATCTCACAAAACAGTTTAACTTATTATTTAAATACGTTAAATGTGTTTTACGAGGAAAAAAAACTTATCTTTCCTTACCTGGATGTTTTCCTCTTCCATAAATAGATAAAATCTGAATCAAAAATAGCAACGTTAATGTACACCTAACCATATTTCTTTCCTTGAAAAACAACAATGACGTTTTCGTACGCAGGTGTCAATGGTTATGATAGAAACAGACATTAGAGACACACTAACAACTGTTGGCAATAACAAAATCGATTTAGTAGAAAATATCTTTAGTATCATCACTGCTAATTCCGAATTGGATTAAAAGGAAACAAAAACAACAAAATAACATTTTGCTAGTGTTTAATCCCTTTTTTCTAAATGTTAAGTAAACATTCTTTCGAAATACATTCAGAACAGTTGACACAAGCAAAAATTATTAGTATATTTTGGAGCAATTTTTGTTTATAATAATTCAAATAAAACTTTAAATTTTTAAAATATAAAGAACTCGTAGACATTTTTTGCCAAAATATTACCTCTCTGCATCTGTTCTTATGAATGCATGCGTTTTTGTCACATTAAATCACTTTTTGTATAAATAAAAATAAATAAAAAAAAAAAGAAATTGCATGAGAAATTAAAATTTATGCTGACAAAGTGTTTAACACATCCTAAGCTGTTATTTTCATTGGTTCAATGTGTATCAAAAGTATCTATTATATGAGGAAACATATCATTATATACCGGTAGTTTTGACACTTATTCACGAACATTCGACACGACGAAGCGAAAAGCACCAGAAAATCGTATTAGGTATTTTTTTTTATTAAAAGTTTCTTATTATTCAGCATCAATTGTTCAGTACTTGTACATATTGTACAGAAAATAAGGTTCTCTTATAGATTCCATAAGAAAAAAAATAACACAGTTCAGGTTTCAAACTGAAATATTTTGGTGAATAGACGCAAATCTCAAAAAATATACCCTGAATCCTTGAAAATAAGCCTCGGTTTATTTTATTTTAAGTTTTGGTAAGAAAATTGGGGGGGGGGGGGTTCAAAACCGTCTTATTTTCAAATTGCGGCTTATTATCAAATACAAAAACTGGTAAACAACAAGAATATAATCACAACTTTTATCAAAAATAATTGGTAATTGATCGATTGAGAACTACTTTTTCGTTCTAAAATTAGAATATATATGTAAACTTCCGTAAGAATTAGATAAATAGTATTCAAATGTTTTAATTTTGTGCGTTTGTTTTAAAAGCAGTGAGCTTTTAGCAATGGAGACTGCTAAACGTTCATCGTGAATTTATAGAAAAATTAGGAACGGCTTATTTTCAAAACAGGCTTATTTTCGAGTAATTTTCATTGCAAGAAATAGGTGGTTTATTTTTTAAACTGGCTAATTATCAAATCCGTTTTATTTTCAAGGTTTTAGGGTATTATGCTTTCAGAAAACCGTTGAGTCAAGTACGTTGCAGGGAATAGTAAACATGAAGTGCTTATATGATGTAGACCAGTGACATGGTGTTAAAAAAAGAAATAGAGTATAAAAAGAAAATTGAAATTTTAATATTTTGTTTGACGTAACTAGAATAAATTCGAAAAATATAAATTCATGCATTGCACAAATACTATACCTTATAGTCTTATAGAGACTATACAGAACAGAATAACAGGTCTGTATTTATAAAGATAGTATATAAAGATGTTTATTGAATTAAAATTATCAACCAATTTGTTTAAAAACTTTCACTCCCATCCTTTTTTGTTCTAACAACTTTGGATTAAAAATCAAGGAATAATATTGACAAAATGTCAAATTTGCTCTCAATGACTAATAATTGATAATACAATACAATGCACTTCATTTGATGAGCAAACCATCCATCCAAAGGTTAAACTATTTGATGAGATTTCTTTATTTTCTTAGTTATGGGTGCACGATACGAGGGGCATTTCAAAAGTTCTGAGAACTGTTTAATAAAAAAATTAACTGTTTCACGGAAATTATTGAGTTTATATCACTGGAAAATTCAGAAAAATATTCACAAATTGTGAATTTTATAATTTTATGACGTAATAACTCCGAAATAATTTAATAATTCAAATTTAAAGAAAACTTTTGCACATTACTCGCGATCGGACACAAGCTAATGGACGCAAATGTCAGTTGGTGGACTGTTTACATAGACTACAATCTATCATATGGTGTTCTATTTCGGGGATCATTTTGGTCTGAAATGGTTTGAGCGAGAATCAAACTTAACATGTTTTTATCGAATCTCGCTCAAAATGTTGTGTAAAAAAGACCTAACTGTAAGAAAAAGACATAGTTGGCAATCAATGAAAAATAGGAGATTGTGTTACAAAGCTTATAGCATAATTTCGTCAGGTGTTTTAACCAGATTTGTGGGATCGATGAAGTCTCAAGAGAAATTAGGTTTAGTATGCCCCATATTTTCTCGTAAAATCCAAAATGGCGCCGGCGCAGTTGTAACCCACCGAACCTCCACAAATATATGTTTAACTAAAATGTTTATAGTGTAATAGTATACAGGTTAAAAGATAGGAGCGGAATTTTCTATCATCAAGTGTAAGCACATCCTCCCCTTCAAAAAATATAACCAACAGAGATCAGACACATTAACCTATAAATAATACAAATATGTGAAATGGGAATAAATCACGGAGAACTGGAAATTCCTGAGGTGGGATCAGGTGCAAAGGAGGAGTAAGTATAACCTGTTGACAGATCACACCTGTCGTGAGCTCGAGCCCTATGTCATATGTAGAAATGGTGTTCATTCTGTTCATTTGCATATCAGCAATTTTGGAACTATAATGGCGGCCGATTCCATATAGGTTTATATAGAGAAAATACAAAAAATCGCAATTTTTTTTATATCCTTCCTATTTCGAATAAAGTTCTTCCGCCGATGGTTAGATTCTTTCTTATATTTTCTACCGGAAATGACAAGATTGTAAATACCAAATTGAAAGTTGCGACCGCCTTTTTGATTTGAAAATTCGAATCGAGATTGTATTGTTTTAATGAAGGAAAAAGAATAGAATTATTGTTTTTATCATTTTTGATGATAAAATGTAAGTGTTTATTGTAAGTTGACAAAGTTCTTCCGCCGATTTAAAGGTTCAGAAGAGAGCTTTTTTCTATAAAATACACATGATGTTCCATTCCATGAGGAGTTACGACCGCCTTTTTAATTTGAAAACGGCAATTTTTTACGTTATGGTGACCGAAATAATGAAGTGAAAACGATATTCAGAGTCGTCAGCTGTTAATCACACAAAATACAATACGCCAGGATACTACCTATGACGGAGACTTGAATAAAATCCAAAACGATGCAGGTTTGCAGGTTTCATCATTAAGTTACACAGAAATAGAATATTTTAAGTTTATACAATATCTTATGAATATTAATGAGGAATTAATCTCGTGGAAGTTATCTCATGAATAAATTGCACGCCATTTCTCCATATGTATTGATAATTAAGGTAGACGTATCTCTACGTAGTCAAATGAATATTAAATAAAACAATTTCCTAGCTTTTTACATGAAAAAGTCTGCAAAAATACTAGCCAATGATGGGTTTCATTTGCGAAAAAGATCGTTATAACTATTATAAATCCAAGAAATGCCGACTTTAGCCAAGAATGCTGAAATCCATGTAGTATTATCTTATCAGTGATGCATCAATTTAAACTGTACCCAGAGCAAGCCCTTGAGTATTGAAAAAGTTTAGAGACGTGAATATCATGAGCAGGTAAAAGTAAAATATTACTAAATAGATAAAAAAAAATTATAATGAAAGTTGAAGTCATCTCCTTTAAGTTTATCGTCTGTAGTCTGTATAACATCCAAAAAGGCCTTTAATTGCAACATTTTAGCGTTTAATTGCAATATTGGAGAGGTTAATCAGTTCTGCATACCGTGTAATTCTACAAGACTTGTTGTACACAACGTGTAGATTTGCAAGTACATGCAAGTGAGAACTTGTACATGTAGCTTCTTACCGACGTTCGATCCTGATATTCAAAGTCTTAAACTTTTTTTGCCAAGCATATTTTTAATTTCTACATACATAGCTTAATCAAAATTCAAATCAAATAATGGGGGTCAGTACGCTTTTTTTGCGCTGCAGTACATTTAATATGACCTTTTCGCACTGAAATTTGTGTCTCAATTAAAAATTAAACTTTTGACGTTTTCACTCCAATATCTTT